AAGGTCGTTTCAATGTTTCTGGTTTGCAGAATATTTGCAGAACATCATTCCTGTTGAAAAGAAATTCTTAATTCTTACTGTTCTCAGCAATTGGTAAACACTGTTAGGGAAGTTACTTTAAAAATAATAACTTTTGCTGATTACTCTGTACTTCTATTATTATTAAGGTACATTACTTTTGTAGTTATCATTTAGGGAAAGCAGCTTTTTTGCAGCTTATTTTGAGTAAAGTTCTACTATTGAGAACACAACAAGTATTTATTTTGAGCTCTTTATTATAAACTATGTAATGTAATGTAAACTGCGCACTTGAAAATAAAACAGCTAGCCCTGTACAATGTAATGAAACTTTCAAAATAACTCATATCTAAAGAAAAAAAAAACATTCATTGCATGAAAACCTCCACATTTTACTGATCCATCTGATCAATAAATACAGTAAAATAAACACTGAATTGAAAAGGCTGTGTTAACTTAATATACTGGCCTTCTTAGCAGTGGGATAACAGGGATCAGGAGATATTAACAGATAGGCTGCAGGCAACAGACACCACATCCCAACACAATGCGTGAATATGCCTTATGAATACAGCTTTCACTCTAAGGAAACAATTAAGTATGTTCAACTTCAAGCTTGATCCCATACTTAGTATCGCTGAATCTGTACTACAGAACATTGTGTCATCCTCTCACTCAGCAAAAGAGAAACAGTTCTACTCAATGATGCTGCTGTAGATGTCTGCAGGAACATTCCTAATTTTCTCTGCAGGCTTTGTATCATGCACTAGATGACTAACGGACATGCCGCTGCTCCCCATCGGGAACACATTTATGCACCTGAGGAGACTGTTGCTGTCACAATGCAGTGGCAGTCACACAATGTCACTTCCAGTGTTTTTGTGGAAGGATAAACATCATTAGGTTTTTTTAATCAGCTTGTCAGAAGCATGAAAAAATTGCAGGTGAAGGGGCTATTTTTCCATCATTGTGCGCAATATTTACTCTAAGCATTTCACCCAGGTGCTGCGCTCTGTGCTTGTGGTCCAGTAAGCACAGTTAGAGGGAATCAGGAACACGAAATCCAACAGTTTCTCTAATCATTGGCTCTCCTCGTTTGGCTCTGGAAAATAATTATTTTAGAGACACTAGCTTTGCTCTGGCTATTTCCTTTTTTCTGCTATAGTTTTACTCCGGTATCAAAGTTCTTTAAAAAAATGAATAGTTAGATGCCTTTGATATTTATTTTGTGTGTGGAAGTCGCTATAAAGCTGGAATTTTTAATTTCTGATCCATTAGTCCCCTGCACTGTGGTACTGACTGGATGACACTATAAATATATTAGTCCTCAAAACTTTTTGTACAGTTCTCTGGTTGTCTTAATTCTGTCAATAAACACCCCTTAAACAAAGCAAATACATGTGTCATAGTGGGCTCAGATCCTGACAGCATCCAATTAGGTGATTATCTGATGCTTCTTCTTCACAACAGCAAGATCAATAGTTTTTAATGGATTAGCCAGCAGACTAATAAAAGGGAATTTCATTGATTATGCTGCGGGTTGTCATTGCCTCACTGTGATATTGTGGGAATTAGCTGATGTCAAAGCAGACATTGAAGTTAAAGCGTCTGACATTGGGGCTGTTCAAGTTATATTGGATAACAGTTTTGGAGGCAAAAGCTTACGTAAGGTATTAGAAAAAAATTTAATCTTAACTGATTGTAATATTTATCCTTGCTCTTATTTTAGAATTGATTCTCCCACTTAAATGGGCTTAAAATGCAACCATACTATAATTTACTTGGTTATAATTTTCCCCAAACTAACCTAAATGTTTAGTTATTTAACCCTTTTGTACTTTTAGCCGGTCTCTTTCGTTGCCACAGGCAGAATTTATCACTGGACTAGAAAGTGCCGCACTCTTCCATGCTTCATCCTTTGTGGTTTGTGTCAGACCCAGACAGTCATCAGAAAAGGTCAAAGCTTTGGTAAAAGATTTAAATCAACCTAAAATAAGAGAGATTTACCCTGACAGGCAGAGGCTGAAAACTGGTAAATAAGAAAGCAAGCAGAGACTCATTCCTCATCACTTAAGCCAAGGACAAACAGGGCTATTGTATTTCAAACTAGGGGCTGTAGCGTGTGCACCATCTTAATATGATTGCATGATTATTTCAGAAACCACAAGAGGAACACTGTTTTTGTTCTCCCCTTCTTCAGATCTATTAATCGTGTTTTTCTTTCTGAAATGAGGTGATCTTGACATAGCTGAAATCAGCAACATATTTTTAAAGCCAACTTGGGAGTGTCAGTGTGGAAAAAGAAAAACTGCTGGCTTTCTTTTGACTGAGGACCAAATTCACATATTGTTGTTGTATTTTGATATGTCTCTTAGCTGTTTTATATCCATCCAGATGTGTGAGGTTCTAGTGTACCATTTACAATTTTCCCCCATTTGTATCTTTACTATATTAATGCTTTAGCAACACTTTTTGATGAATGCAGGAACTGAGGTGCTTATTTAACTTGTTTTGAGGACAAACAGGACATTTGGAAAAATCCTTCCTCTTTAGTGTTTATTAATGTACTTAAAAGATGAATGGGATAAAGGGAAGCTCACAGAGAGGCCTATGCATCATAATATATTAGCTCACCGGAGAAAAGAATAATGAAACTATTTTAAGCTTTAAAGCCATGCTTGAATAATATATCTGTTCCAAAATGCAACAAAGCAAGAACTATTACTAGGTAGTTACTTTTTATAATCTTTTCAGAAAAGACATTCATAAATATATGTTGAGTTTTTTGCTCTTTAGCCTATAAAAAGCTTATAGTTTGAATTTTTATACTGTGTTATCTGGAAGGTTTTTTTTATAAACACAAAGGCAAGACAATATTTGTATAGCGCAATTCAATGCAAGGACAATTGAAATTGCTTTATATGAATTAAACAATAAAATAGTAGAGCAATACAGGCAGAACAAAAGCAAATGAAGAAAACAACATGATAAAAGCAGGTTTTACCACAATCTAAAACAAAATAAGTGAGTTTTTAACTCAATTCAAACAACTCAGGCTTTCAGCACTTTTACAGTCTTCAGGGAGTTTGTTCCAAATAAGTGGAACATAGGAACTAAATGCTGCTTCTCCATGTTTGGTTCTAGCCTGTACAGAGCAGGTTTGAAGGTGAAGTCGAGTCGCATTTGTAAGATAAATGGAAAAAAAAAAAATTGACCTGGTAGGAAATTCATAACCTATACAGGATGATAAAATAATACTAGGTTTAATTATTATAATATCATTTACATCATTGATATGATTTTGTCCTTATTAATTAATTCACTTGCAGGTATTGTTGTCCTATGATCCATTTATCCTCACACTGCTTGGTTTTCTAGTCCCAACTGTAGTTTAAACAAAATATTTAGATTTAAAGTTTGTTTAAATGCATAGCCCTTTCCACACATACAAGTGAAGTCTATAGTAAACTTGCCTTGCTATACTGTAGCATTATATAGGAGCAGTTACCTTAAGTACTAAGCTGAAGCTCGCTCATACTCCCTTTCCTGATGTCAATTGCACTTTATTTTGGCAGTGTGGAGTAGGGGTGTAATGATTCATTTGAACAACGATACGATTCATTTGAACAACGATACGATTCATGATTCATGGTTTTCCATTCGATTCATGGTCGATTTTTGATTCTTTTCTAACAATCCGATCTGATACCGTGATTTGAAATCAATTCAGTAATTCTTAAGCGAAAAAATGTAAGCCATCTAAAATAAAAACCTGCTTACTGAAAATCTCCTAGATTTTTATTGTTTCTATTAAGAGAACTTGGGTATAAAGTAAATAAATAAAGAAACATGTAGTAAATAAATAAAAGCGAATACAGTCACATTTTATTCAGTTCAACTAACACTCCAAATTGAATCAATATGAGGGCATCTGTTGTTGCATTGTTTTCAATAATTAAGCATTTTTTAATTAAAATGCACTAAGTACAATAATTATTTTAAGTATAGGTTTATCTTTTTGATTTTAACTTGAAAATATTACAACTTTAACACAAAAGTAAAAACTCCAAAATCTCTTCAGTTTTAATCAAAAGTACAAGCAGCAAGGTTTTCTATCAACCATATAAATAAAGAAATGCCAGTAGTCTGAGTAATACCATACTGATGAAATGAGGCCTTGGGTGGATATTTATGTGTTATTAGGTACAACAAGCTCTATTGTATATGTAACTATGAATATACAGGGGTGGGATTCACTGTTTCCCTTTGGCAAAATAAGCTAATGACTGCTGTTTTAAATGTTGAGGATTAATAGCCTTGTTCCCTAATGTAGATTTACCAAACATCTCCTTTTAACATTCTGGGATCATGACTTTACTTTAATATGTGAGTTTATAAAGGGGTCTTTAGCTATAGCCTTTAAAAATGCTGTTGTTTTAAAAAGAAACCCTACATTAATCTGTGTATCTGTGTGTGCATTGTAAATGGGAGCTATATCAGTATTCACAATATACTGTAGTTGTACATTTGCATTGCAAGAATTCATGCAAAGGGTTCTGTAAATTGCTTCTCCTGGGAACAAACAGGTGAAGGCAGACATAGGTAAACAGGCACCATCCTAAGGTAAACACTGTGTGTCCCACATGCCTGCAGTTTAATGCACATGTAGGCAGGCACACAGTTGATTATGTCTAAATACCTCTGCTGCAGATTTCAAATGGGAAGTCACAGTATTGTGTTTACAGGAAGCTAAAAACATAATCATAAATCAACATATTTGAAATTATTCTTTTACATTATCGTAAAAGAGCAAAATGTTATGTTTTTTGCCACATTGTAATTACTTAATTACTTATGTTTATATTTAATATATTTTTCTAATTTTTATACTCTGATTTTGTGATTAAATTGGTGGCTTTTTATCTCATTGTATAGTCTATAATAACAATTGATTTCTTTGTTCTTTCTTTTTCTTCTTACAGGCCTTCCCATGTATTTCCACAGGCATTTACGGTAAGCTGTTGTTTTTCTGTGAACTTATTTGTGCTCCCTGCATGTTTTTTGACTGCTTTTCCCACATAACTTTGCAGGCAACACATAAAAACTTTATATCACACATAAGGAAATGCAGTAAAGAAGAAGGTTAATATAATAAAGACCAAGAACATTGCTTTGTCCTCTCATGGGACCGGAGCGAATTTGCCGGAAGGCATCCCTGGCAGAAGACTGGCTGTACTCATTGCATTTAAACAAAGTCACTCGCAAAAAGTCAGAAAATAACTTTAGAGTTGTTTTCATAAACTGAATTAGAAGTTTATTCTTAACAAAGTTACAAGGAGATTAGTTGTTGCGTTCTTGTTCTGAGAATTTCTATTCCCCCTGTGGGGGGAAAAATCATACGGTTTATTCTTTGTATTGAATTAGCATATAGCTTCAATAATCTCAGTAGGAGCCAAATGTTTATGGTTAATTAACATGCAAATCATCTATCTCTGTAACTAACAATTAGTCAGCACTATTCTGGTTCCAAATGAAGTTAAAACTTGTTTGAGCTCGAGCATTGTTTTAAATGACCACAGAGTGCTAATCAGTGCTTTTCTGATCACGGATATAAGTAAAAAATAAAAGGTCTCCTGGACCTACTTATAACAAGGTTGCCGTTCTCTTAACTGTGCCACAGCACTCACAAGTGGATCACTCTGCAGCCACTGTGTTTCTATCAAAAAACAAATTATTTTTAAATGATATGTTAATATTTCATCAGGGCTTGCTTTAATTTATCAAGGTCTCTTTTTAAAGTGATGCTGAAAATGAGCACAGGGACAGATGAGTTGCTTAAATAGACTTTTAATTACTTGATGAGGGACGTGGATGTAAGCAATTTTACTGTGAATGAAACCTTGGCAACAACAGATAACTTATAAACCCAGTTTAGATAGGCCCAATCTGCTTAGTATTTTCAGTCATCTATGCAATCAACCTGGAAAGACTATATTTGCATAAATATGACACCAGTTTGAACACCTCATGTGTGGTGTAAAATAAATTACAGCAAAGTTTTTTTTTTATGGGATTAATGCATCCTAATCAGATGCCCGAGGCATCACCAGGGAGACGTCCAGGAGGCGTCTCCCTGGTGTGTTCCAGGCACGTCCCACAGGGAGGAGGCCCAGGGGGAGACCCAGGACACGCTGGAGGGACTATGTTTCTCGGCTGGCCTTGAGGCGCCTTGGGATTTCCCCGGTAGAGCTGGCCCAAGTGGCTGGAGAGAGGGACGTCTGGGCCTCCCTACTGAAGCTGCTACCCCCGCAACCCGACCCCGGATAAGCGGAACAAGATGCATGGATGGATGGATGGATGGATGGATGGATGGATGGATGGATGGATGGATGGATGGATGGATGGATGGATGGATGGATGGACAGTAATGGTAAAACCAATATATAATAGATTTTTGTTAATCATTGCAACTTTTGTCCTTTTAAAGGTCATAGCTGAAACTTTTTCCTTTAAAAGCAATATATCGACAGACTGGTGCTGATTAACTAATTTTACTGAAAACAAAATGTATCTGCTTTTGGTTTCGATGCTGACTTTGTCACGAAAGTACTTTGAAGTTTCCTCAAACGTAGCTCAGATTTTGACCGATTCCTAATGGCTACTTCTTACATTTCTGGATTCAAGGCAAAAGAATAGAACAAAAACAAGGATAAACAATGGCAAGGCTTTGCGGTGCATGTATATACAGGAAGTTTGTTCGTTTGAAACCAAATATGAAGAAACAAAAACATATTATAATTTTTGTATTTCGTTTATTGAACATATGCGGATCCTTTACCCCTCTGTTCAACCAAATTTTGAAGTTGAGCTAAATTACACACCTGTGTAAGTAAGAGATGTTCACTTGTTGTGCTGTGATGCATTCCAGATGCTGATGCACACCACTTTTCTAAAATATGTGGCTGTTGTACTGTTGCTGCTCACTGTTCCAGCTCCACATCAACCTAGAACAGTGTTGATCATGCAGTCATCTGGTACATCTGGTTGAGTTTACATGCAAAAGACTGAATATGCAGACTTTGGATTACATTTTCTGGACTTATATGTAAAAAAATATAAAAAATGAATGAATAAATTCACAAATACCAACAAAATGACATTTTGATTACAAAAACATTAATACATCTTAACCAGTTGGTAATGCTACTCTCTACAGATCTAGACAGATACATTCAAATACAAATGGGTGTGCAGCATTGAAAATGAATAATGGAGAAATACGATTTTCCAGACACCTTGGTCTACATATGGCTAGAGACTGGAGCTGTTTATTTTTTCTTAATAGTATTTAAAAATAAGAATGCAATTTTCAACCAAAGCCATCACCTTTTCTCCTTTATTAAATCAGCATTATAACTAACCAGCAGCTGTCACTGAGGGACACTGAATTACTAAATGGAGAGGAGCGCTGATTACACAGGCTGACAGACCTTGGCAGTGCTCATTAAAACGGCTGAAACTTCCCTGAATGTTAATGGCTACAAAATGTTCATGCATCCTGAGGCATTGCTAAATGTTCTTGTTAGTATAGACCAGTGTGTGTTGTAGAAAGTCCTTTTAAATTACCAGCTGTGAGAACTACACAGGTACATGTCAAAAAGTTAGATTATAATGAAAAAGTTTGCTATTTTTCTGTCACTTTAGAAAGCGACAGAATGTTATAAATAATATAAAGAGAAATATTTGCAGCCTTTTTTTTATGTGATTATGGCTAAGACATAATGAAAACCCAAAATTAGCATCTGCGTATTGTGAAAATGTTAAATATTCAATTTGAGATTTATTAATTTACTTCCTGATTTATTTGTTTGTTTGATTTTTTAAAGTCACCGAAATAAAAGTCGGAGAAAATGCAAAGTAGTGTTACAAAATAAGTGCTGATAAATTAAAACTCTAATGAAATAGATAAATAACTAAATGTGGAAGTGAATAAATAATTTACTTCATGGTGACAATGTACTTCATAAAATTCTTAGTAATAATTTATAAATAGCATAACTTATCGATTTATTGCGCTGCATGGTGACAGTGGGTGGCAATGGTACCCGGGGTCTTTCTGCATGGTATGTGCATGTTCTTTCTGTGCATGTGTGGCTTCTCTCCGGGTACTCCGGCTTCCTCCCACAATCAAAAACCATGACTGTTTGGTTAATTGGCTTCTCTAAATTGTCCTATGGAGTGTGTGCATGGTTGTGTGTCTCTGTCTTGCCCTGCAACAAACTGGTGACCTATTCAGTGTGCACCCTGCATCTCGCCCATAAACAGGGTCCTGGTTAGGCACCAGCCCAACCGGGACCCTGACATGACTAAGTGGAATAGGTTGGATAAATGGATATTTATTAATGTAATTTTGTATGAAAAGGCTCTTCACAGAAATGTAAAAAAAGCTGTATTCCTCACTATAGTGTTAATGTGAATGAGCAGCAAAATGCCATGACCCGAGACCCAAAGAGTATCTATGGAGTATTGTCAACAGAAAGAGGACAGACACCAGATCTGACAATACAGATGACCTAAAGGTTAGGATGAAAAGAACCGGAGCTTCTAACAGAACCTCTGGTTGACTGCCTCAATGCCACGCTGAATGCTACAGCGTTAAGTCTGGCAAAAAAAAAAGAAGCCCAACCAGGTATCGAATCTCAGAATCAAGCATACTTTTTAGAGGACTGACTTTTCTTTTTTAATCCTTTTTTTAAATAAAAAACACAATATTCAAATTTTGCAACACACTGTATTTTTATTCTCTGTAACTTACAATCATCCAAACTGAGAAGATATAAAAGCTTGAAAGAATTTACCCTATGTGTAATGAATCTATACAAGTTTAACTATCAGAAATGAGCGACAAGTTATGTTTAACTTTTTCGTTGTATTTACTTTAAAAAGAAATAAACATGACATTTTCAGTAGTAGTTTTGAAACTGTTATGTCTTCTTTTTGTATTACACAGTTTTTATTTATTACCACAGCTGAAAAGATTATTGCTGAACACCTTAGGATACAATAACATTATCTTATGGGTGTCTTTACTTTTTTTTTTTCCTTTCTCTTTCATATTGCTATACAACTTTAGTGAAGTGTTCATAGATCTTATAACAGATTCTCATTAATTATATCCAATGATGGATGTTAAAGAATTTCAAAGAGTTGCTTTTGCCTCTCCTGCTGTATGAAAACAAAGACTGTGCTAGAGTTTGCACAAGAAAGAGAGCTTTTTATTCCGCTGTTGTTGACGATACCGCAACTTATTGCTGTTTATTGTTGTACTGTGTGCTGCTTCACCAGTGGGAGCCTGTCGTAGCACTCCACCAGGAGCGCCCTCACATCAAAGAATAGTGTCTGCAGAGCCAGGCATGCTGTAGTGGGGAGGAATTAAACAGCCTGTTCAATAAATAAACAGCTTAGCGCTTCCCATAACTGCATCTTCACTGAACAATACAGCTGATTAAGACTAAAGATTCTCACACAGCAGAGGGCAAATAGAGGAGGGACTTTGAAAGTAGCTTGAGCATAGCGCTTTACACTCTCTGTGATGTTGTTCTCTGGCTCCTCGCTGTGCCCCCAGAGTGCTGCTGTGCTCTGAGAGAGGCCCTGCTCTCTTGTCAGGAGCTTTGACATTTTATGTACATTTTAGATAACCTTTAAGGTCAGCTACCATTTCAGCAACGTAAACAAAAGCTTTTTGGAGTGTGAGTCACATCTTCCTCATGTCTTTCTTTCTGTGTGTTCCTTTTTTATCTACCTCTGTGGTATGCATGTGCCTTTAGCTATCTTTTTTTTGTTGTAAATATAAGCTTAGAGGAACAACTGATTAGTGTTGCAGTCCAGCCTTTTTGTAATTTTTCTAATTTTAAAACTTGTAGAAATCTTCTGTAATAAATTCTAAAGGCACTTAGGGTCTTTTGTTTGACAGTTGTTTCAAATTTGTTGCAAGATGATGAGGCGATAAATGC